GAACAGGCAGGGTTCAGAGCAGGTTATTCAACAACTGATCATGTTTTGTACTGGATCATCTGGTAAATAAGTATGTAAAACATGCCCACAGGAAACTGTATGTTGCCTTCGTGGATTTTCGTGCAGCTTTTGATTTTATTGATAGAAACAAACTGTGGATTAAACTAGATCAGTTGAATCTGGATAGAAGATTATTAATTTTGATCATGTTTTATATACAAATACTCAAATTCAAGTTAGGTTCACCCCCGTAGGGCATCTGACAGATAATATCAAGACTTTTAAAGGAGTAAAACAAGGAAGTGTGCTTGCACCATTATTATTTAATCTATTTATTGACAATATTGTCCCAGCCCTGAGTGGAGAATTTTTTTTTTCCAGTAAAGGCAGGAAATAGGAACTTGTCCATATTGCTTTATGTAGATAATTTATTGCTAATATCCCATTCTCAGATAGGCTTATGCAGACAGTTAAGAGCTTTGGATAGCTATTAATGCGGAAAAATCAAAGGTGGTGGTATTTGGAGAGAAAAGGAAAAGACACAAATGGAGAATTGGAGAATATAATATAGAACAAGTTCTCTCTTACAGATACTTGGGCATCCTTTTTAATGCTTCAGGCAGTTGGCGTTCTCACTATCAGGCCCAAAAAATAAAAACCGAGAAAGCTTTGGTAGGAATAATAAAGTTTTGGCGTACAAGTGGTGGTCGACAAATTTATCCAATCCTAACTCTTTTAAAAACCAAGTTAGTTCCTTACTTTTCCTATGCAGTAGAGTTATGGGGGATTTCTACCCCTTATGATATGGAATTCTTTCAAAATGAACTCCTCAGAACAGTTTTAGGTGTACCCAGTGGTACTTCTATCCCCTTTCTCTATGCAGAAACTGGTACTTACCCAATTAAAGCTAGAATAATTGTAAGGCCTTTAATTATTGGGCTAGACTTCGAACTACCTGATGATCCCTGCCTTGTTAAGCAGTGCCTCCTAGAGCAAATGAATTTCTCCACTCCTTCTCGCACCAATTGGTTTACATTTTTATCCAATCATATGCATACCTTTGGTTTTTCCCTGGAATTCTTTCTGAACTCAAATAACAGCAATAATAGTTTATTATCTAAAAACAGGGTGCTGGATGTCTTTGCCCAGAGAAATTTGTTTAAATTATCACAAAATAAAATTGCCCCTTGGTATGCATTCAATGAAACCAAAATCAAATGCGAACATTATCTGAGGTGTTTTACAGTGCTATCCCTCCAAGAGGCACTTACAAGACTATGGTTCCAGCGAATGGCATTAGCAATTAGAAAGGGCCGATTTTACAATATTCCATATAATATGCGATTCTGCCCTTGTTGCAAGGAAAGTATAGAAGATTTTACCCATTATTTATTGTATTGCCCTATTTCTGCTTCAGCACATGGAAAATTTCTGGAGCCTCTTTTGATAAGAAAATCATTTTGGCATGATTCATTTAAAACTGAATATCTAATGAATTTAGACTAGGTGACAGTGGTATGGAAATTAGCAAGCTTTGCATGGGCTGCTGCTAAACAGAGATAATATTTTATCAAATGTTCCTAATGTTTTCTAATATTTTATCAGTTGTAATAATATTTTTACTGATTTTAGTATATTTTAATGAATTTTATTAATGTATGGCCACTTTTGTGCAGGTTTTACCTTATTTGTTACGATCTGTGGTCAAAACAATAAATAAATTAAATTGAATTGATTTGTTAGAAAGGTATAAAGATGCTGTGTTTTAGCAATAGAAAATGACATGATTGGGAATCTGTCTTCAGTCCAAGTACATAGTCCACATTCTTCATCCTCACTACTAAAGAAACTAATAGCATAGAACATCATTTCTATAATAAAAAATAAATAGTTATCCATTATGTAAAACAAGCTCTTCTCAAATTTTAATCAGAAAAAATTATGCATATTCATTTTTACATATATATTTATATTTGCATATATATACTGCATTAATTATAACCACACACCTTTTTTGGGAGAAAGAGAGATGAACACGCAAATTACTGTAGTGCTAATTCTAGCTATACAGACATGAACGTACAAATAAAACCATACGAATTTGAACCCCAAACTGACTTGTCTAGAACTTTAATTCACTAAATAAAATAAAATGTCTAATGTCTAATTAATTCACTAAATAAAATAAAATGTCTAACTGAAAATAGTATTGTGAATTTACCACAAGGATCCATTTTCTACGGCAAAGTCAGAACATTCCACAGTGGGACATACCAGAGCTATCCTTAAAGATGAGAACTTACTTGCTAGGACCAACTTTCTGTAAGATCATTATGCAAAAAGAAGCTTTAGCTGAGGCATACTATTTAATGAAGGAGGACCATTTACCAGTCCTCCATTTATCTCCCTGGGGGCATCAGAGGCCATGTCAAAGGCAGTCAAAGAGATTGTGCTCCTAGTGGAGTGGGCCACAATTCTTTCTGGGGTCAGTCTATTCTGTGCTTCACAGATCAGCATGATGCAGATTTGATCCACCTAGATATCATGGTTGACAAGGCCTTGTGGCCCAGATGGAACAATCAAAAGGTTATTAGAAGACCGGCAGACACACTGAACTCCTTTATTTGTTTCAAGTAGATCTTGATAGTTCATCCTTAGCTAGCTGGGTTGTGGGGCTGAGACAGAAGGAAAAGAGGATTACATCCTGGCCCTGGTGAGACTGAAGAAACCGCTGGGCATAAAAGTTGGATTTAGGCTTAAAGTGAGAATGTCTGGCTGGATGCTGCAAAACTCCTTTATAGTTGACAGTACATCTATTCCTAAAATTTGCCTGGCTTTAATGAATGCCACCTTCCATGTCAAATGTTCTGTATTTACTTCACAGAAGGGCTTCAGTAGGGCTTAAGTTAGAACATGAAGTACTATCTGGAGCTCTTATGATAGGTACCAGTCAATTGTGGGTAACTTTCTTTAAAAATGGTGGCAATAAGGCAGGACACATGGATTTATTATAAAAGTGTACTATGTTATACACCTGTACAGAAAATAAACTTGGCACTCACATAAGCTAGGTTGATAATTCTGATTTCCTACATTTTTCAGTCTTATCACTCTATACTTTTAGGAATTTAGTTTACAGATTTACTATACCATCTCACCCCCATTATATCACCCCCATTATGTTATCCCATCCTACCCGGTCAAGCAGAGAGGGTATGCTGCGGACCCCATTGATTGAAGAATGTTGACTGGTGGGGCTCAGGAGGAGAGCCTTCTCTGCCATGGCCCCCACCCTATGGAATACCCTCCCCCCAGAGGTGAGGCAGCCCCCTATTCTCTCAACCTTCCAGAAAGCGGTTAAGACCTGGCTCTGCCAACTTGCATGGGGTGAAAAAAGGGACAACCAACCCTGGGGATGGCTAGCACCTTGAAGATGTTCCTGTATGTTAATATCCTTTCTACTGGCAGCACCTTGGAAGATATTATTTATGTATGAATATGGTTTTTATTGTATTTTTATTGTATTTTATTGTATTTTAATTAATATTTATTTTTGTTTTTACTGTAAACCACCCAGAGTCAGTTCCTAGTGAAATGGATGGGGACCAAATTTGAAATATAAATAAATAAACAAATAAATAAATAAATGAATGAATAAGTTTAGCAACTAAATCTAACTTTATTCTTTCAGTCAGGCTTTACTTATAACTTCTTCTGGATACTGATTAGTTTCTTCCTTTACTCTGCTCTGGCAATTGTCCCCACAATACACACCTAATTGCTCTAGGGAATCAAATCTACAGCATATAGATGTGAGGGTGTGGGTGGAAGGATCCTCATGCCAAGATAGCTACATATCTGTATACACAGAACAAATAATTTGCACTGTGCCAATCTGTTTGGCAGATTTCCAGGAAATATTGATGTTAACTTAGACACTTTCAGTGAGTAAGAGTGTGCGTGTCTGTATATGGGAGAGAGTGAGACAGAGAATACACATATGAGAGAAAATCTGACAGACAACATCTTAATTGCTGATTAAAACACTTTTGGTACTTTCAACGAAAAGAACATATAAAAGTTGTGCTACCAATGCAAACTGTTTATTTTTCAGACGTTCCATTCAAATATTCACTGATCAGTAAATAGGGTAAAGCATATATTACAGATCATGAAAATCAATTCATTTCATATCAACAGTTGTATTCAATAACTTATTCCAATAACATTTTAGCAAAGATAGTAACAGCATCCATAACTCACCATGATGATGTCAAAATTATGAAATATGCCTAATGACATACTCATGCAAATGCTGCAATTATGTACTTACATCACAACATCTGACATGGGTATGCAAATTGCAGCATTTGCATAATGTCATCCTGCATGTGACATTATTTGCCCCCCCTTCTCTCTACTGCTGACCCCCATGAAAGATAGGTGTATTGGTGTAAGTATATATGAAAGTAGAATTGATTGATTGACTGATAAGGCCTCCAACTCACAAAGTAATTTTCAAAGATTGGTAAAAGTCGCATTTTATACTAGTTATCTGGTGATAACAAAAGAACAAATGATGAGTTTTGCAGAAAGCGAAAGTATGAGTCCTGTTTGAAAAACAATTGTGACATTAGAGATAAATAAGTAGAGTTATGAACACTGGGATTCTTTTGTATGCAGATAATGCTATGTTGTTGGATGATAACCAACAATCTGAGCAGTAGATTTGCAGCGAATATTCAATAGAATGTATGATGCAATGTGGAGTAGGGATCAGAAAATTAATGCATCAAAGATCAAAGTAGATAAGTTTGACAGGGAAAATGGAGCAAACAATTTCATGTTATATATAAATTAGAGCAAGTAGATACATTTATGAAAATTAATGTATTGTTTCCTAAAGATGGATGCAAAAATTTTAAGTTGTGCAATACTGTTAGAAAGCCAGTGGACAATACATGTTTTGTTGTGATGAATGAGTATTTGTGAAAAGAAAGAAAAAATGTATAAGTATCAAGTGCATGCAACCCTCCTAGTTTGTTAAATGGAAGTGAATCTGTAGTGAGATGGGTGGTGACAAATGTGAAATATAAATAAATAAAAAACAAAAATTATGTCAGGAGAATCATAAAAATAAATTAAATGCAGTGGAAATAGGGCTTTTAAAAAGTTTGTGTTTATGTACTAAAGCAAGAAGAGAAACAATCAAATATGAAATGCAGAGATATGAAATATGAAATATGATGCTGAAAGAAAGTGGACTGAACAGAAAAGTAAGTGACAATATGAAAGAAATATGTTCTGATGATTTGCTCTATTAGAGACAGTGAATAAAGATAAAATCAAAACGAAATATATGGAAGAATGAATGGGTTGAAAGGAATGGGAAGACTAAGGAAGCCATGGTTGGATGGAGTTAATGTCATCCTCAAAACAAGATGAAAAGTCCAAAGGACAAAAGACAAATGCATGAAGTAGCATACAGACATTGTTGAAGCAAAGACAGTTTGCAAGAACAGAGGATATAGAGAGGAAGAGTAAATGGTATTAGTGTTAACAGGATTAGCTATATTTCCTTCTCTTTTAACTCATTTCATGCTTTTAATTTCTTTGGCGTACCGTATCTTATTCCTTTCCTGCATTTTGCATAATGTTGTTATATCCTGAGAGGAATTAGCCTGATGCATATATAATCTTCAATATGTATGAAAAATATGGACATCAACCTAAAACAGTTTTTTTTTCTTCACCCTGCAACTGACCTTCTTACCTGATTAAGCTTTTTCCACAGATTGAGGACTGGAGAAAGCTCATTTGACCAGATTTCTCTGTCAAATTTGCAGCCAGCAGTTACAGACCTACTCAAGATCCGAAGTTGTGAAATTACCTGTAAGAGAAAAAAATACGAGAATATGGAGACAATTCCCAATAAAGTTACAGAAGAGGTCCATGCCTATATATTTTGATAGATATGCTTCTGAAGGCTGTGACAGAGATCATCACTGCAAATAAAGATTTACCCACAAATCCTGTGATGAGAAAACTTACAGAAAAAAAAAAGAGCAATTATTGCTTGCAAGTATATTCAACATACAAAATGCAACAAGGTGTCTTCATATTGTATGAATTATTTGTATTAATAATTACATCACCAGAGACAGTTTAGTTGATTACAAAGGATTAACTTTACACTTCTGTTTGAGTATAAAAGAGAAATGTTGATCACAGGAATTCATATGAGATAAAGCTGGTTATCTTGGAATATAGAATTATATTATGATTAGTAAAAGGTTTGAGATCAAATCTGTTTGAATAATCATTTGAGAATTTACATGGTGTCTCTGTGTCATATTTGTTCTTGAAGCCATGTAAACATTTATAAGTTGTAAGTCATGGAGGTATGATAAACAAATGCTAATTAAGAAAGACTATGGAATTTTAAATTGCAGAGTTTGAATATATGATATATTTTACATAGCAGTTGTAAACATGCTAATCTAGGACAGATGAAGTCACATTGAGAAAACTCTTTGAATTTATCACTAATGAAAACATGTTTTTAAAATATTCAAATATAACACATTTATGTATATAGAGATCACTACAAAATATACAAAAACATTTTGTGGTATTTTGCATGCTGTATATATTTATTTGTTTGGCAACTGGTGCTCAACATTATATATGCTTGCTGCATCTGCATAGTGATGTAGTGAGTAAAGCAAGGGTACAAGTACATATTAGTTTAATGGTACTACTGGACCAGAAGTACTGGGCTTGCCTGAGTCTGTAAAAAAAACCTGAAGGAATCTATACTACAGGTAGTCCCTGGTTAATGACCATTCATTCAGTGACCAAAGTTATAGCAGTGCTGAACAAGTGATACTTATGACCAGTCCTCAGAGTTACGGCCATCCCAGCACCCTTGTGGTCACGTGATTGTGATCAGGGCACTTGGCAACCAGTTTGCACTTATGATGGTTGTAGCATCCTATGATCATATGATCGCATTTGCAACCTTCCCTGCCAGCTTCCCACAAGCAAAGTCAATGGGGAAGCCAGCAGGGAAGGTTACAAGTCACTCCTGTAACTCGCTACCACTCATGCCACTTTCCTGAGTCTCCTCCCACTCTCCATAGCACCCAGCCCCCACCCGTGCTGGGTTGCAGCAGTCACCAGAGCGCCCTCTCATCCTCCAGAGCACCCAACCTACCCTGCACTTGACCGTGCTCATGCCAGGCTGCAACAGTCACCTGAGTGCCCTTTGGAGCACCCACCCCATGCCTGGCCATGCTTGCACCAGGTTGCAGCAGCCACCTGCATGCCCTCCTGCTCTCCGCAGCACCCACCACCACCTGGCTGCACTCTGTAGCACTCATCCACCCACCAGCCTGGTTGTGAACTTCCCGGGACTTTCCAACAAGGAAAATCAATGGGGAAGCTAGCGGGAAGTCACGGCCACATGAGGTCCTCGCTTAACGACCTTAATCCTTGCTTAACAACAGCAGTGGGGACTGCTGGGATTGCTGTCACTAAGCGATGCAGTCATGTGACATCACACTTTATGACCGCATTGCTTAGCAATGGAAATTCCAGTCTCAATTACTGTTGTTAAGCAAGGACTACCTGTAAAGACAAGCATTCCGTATCCATATCCTTTTTATGTTTATTTGAGGATTTGATAAAAGAGATATGCTCAAGTCAGCTTTTCAAGCTTCTATAAAGGAATATTAAAATAAATTCTTTGTATAAGGTATAATGTGGTAGAAAATACAGTACAGTATTTTATTCTAAATAATTGAGTTTCTATCTGTATCTACATCTGAGTGCCCTTCAGAACACCCGGAACACTCTGAAACAATTTACCATTGTTGAAATGCTTAAACATCTCTTTTGTCTTTTTTTAAAAAAATATGATAATATCCCTTAAATAAGAAGACCCCCTTGAGTCAGGTTTCACTTCTTATGACTTCATGGATATCCTGTATTTCGCTTGGAAATAGTAGGAACATGGTTTGACATTGCCTTATTCTGGGATATTTGCCTGACTTCCCAGTCTAGTCCACTGCTCTGGATTTTTCTGGTAGTGTTTCACCCAAATTCTAACCAGGACTGACCCTGCCTAGCTTTCTGAAATCAGCCAAAGCTAGATAGGTACAATCAGCCAGTCAGGAAATATATCTTAAAATCATTATTTATATTTTTAACAATGGACTGGTCATGCCTAAGTTAAGTCCCACTGATTTCAGTGAGTCTACTCTAAGCACAACTGTGGATCCAGTTCAATATTTACAGACTGCCATAAAGGCAGCCCACACAAAAAAATGTGTTTTGTTTGGCCGCATTGACATTTTCTCTCTCACACACACATCCTTCCATGAGGCTGCACTATTCAGTACTCTGAATTGTACACATAAAGTCCACTTGTTTCTGTATTTTTGATGGATTTTCTAACTTAAAAAATGTGCAGTGATGCAATGTTTCATTTTGCTTGATAAATTAGATAATGTTGTTTAGTGTACCACCAACGAATTAAAATAATTTATTAGACTTGCTAGAACATGAAGCCTCACTCATTTGTAATCTGTGGAAGTATTATTTTAAGTTATATAATTGTTGCTATTAATTCATTTGCCGAACATTTTGGAAAATTAGTCCTTAAAAAAAGAACAATTTCAGTGTAAGAAGAAAGTGGAGAAAACTGTTAATATTTCCTTTTATAAGTTAGGCACAAAAGTTTTGAATATTAATGAAAATGAATCTCTTAGTATACTGAAAATATTTTCTCCTTAACAGAAATTGAAAAGAAAATGATCTTTTGCTGAACAATAAACTAAATTATAGTTATAATAGTATAGGACCTCCAAATTAGATGCTCTTTTCTTTTCCAGCATAACCAGGGCTAAAAAACTCTTCTCAGGTCAGTTTAATCTATTACACTGAAATTAGCCAGACTCATCTAATTTGAAATTACCTTCAATTTACCTTACATTCCCTTTATAAACACTGTACTCCATGCTAAAACCTCACATGAAGGACAGTGAAAAGGACGTGGTTTGACACTGCCTTATTCTGGGATATTTGCCTGACAGATGGAATCGGGATTTAGGCTCAGCATGTGCTTTATCAGGCAATAAAATGATTGTGAGGAAACAGATCACTCTGGGCAGTCTAGGCAGTGACACAGGTAAAACAGATCAAGGAAACAACTGAAAGACCCAAAGGTTAAGCACCATTCAAAGAAAAGAAGTATGGTATGGTGGTTAAAGAGTTGCAATAGGATTGGTGACACCAACTTAGCAGCAGAAGATCACTGGGTACTTTTAAGTAATCTCTTTCTCAGTCCAACCTATTTCACAGGATGGTTATTGTGAGGAGAATTTTATACATGAACTCTGGAAGAAAGGTAGGACACAAATGTAACAAAAATAAAAGATATGCTAGGTATGAATCATTAGGAAGTTGGGGGCAATCTAATCTATTGGTTATGTACACCATCCACACAAAAAAAATGACTGAATCTATTCTATTTGCAATAGGATTCATTGTCATCTCTGTTATAAAATAGTGAATATCAAGAGACCATAGGTTGTTTTAGTAACCTTCTAAAATATGCATTCTAGTCTTTCACATCTCTGAACTATAATTTATTACTGTTATTTGCAAGATGAGGTTTATACTAAGTATCAGAAGTTAAATGTGTAGGCTTTTTATTGTGTCAAAGAACTGTATCAGCATATTTTTCAAGGGAATTAGGTCTTAAAAGCTTGAATACAAATCACAGGAGACATGCTAGCTTATGCAATTTTTAACTTAAGCAAACTAAGAGCAAATCACAGTAAAGGAAAAACTACATTCATGCTGTCAGCTGTGAATTTGATCTAATATCCAAACTTAGGTGTCACTTGTTTCTTTGAAGAGGCCATGCATGGCATGTTATGAAAATATGGTCAGTCTTCATTTTATATAAAGCTATGTCATTATGAAGAAGACTCTGTCGTCCACCTCCTGCTATCAAGGATCTAGCAAGCAACAGAGGACATACTGGGCATAAACAGCCCAGTTGAACATGTACATTTCTACTGCTCCAGTTGCTTGTGTGAGAAAGAGAAAGTGCGTGAGAGAGTTAAGACTAAGGATTCAGCCTTGTTTACCATGAAAGAAATATTTCTCAATAATTGTTTTTAAAGAATGTGTTCTCACAATATCGTTTCCATGTCATCCCTAGTCCCTAAAGTTGTCTTCAGTTGTCCCACTGTTAAATGATGTTTTTCCTCTTCTCCCACCCACAAATCTTATGCTACTGACAATCTATAACACCTTGGTGAGAATATTGATGATGGCATGGTCAAAGTCTGGAATCTGCCCAGATCTTATTGCTCAGTTAGGCAAGTTGCTTTGCCATCTGGCTCCTAGCCCTCTATAGATATTTTGGCTGGGGCTGCAAGAGAGACTAGATACCTGGGTTAAACAGAAGCATCTGCTTGTGTAATGTCTAACCACCGCTTCTGAAAGCATGGCGAGGCATTCTGAGTGATATGCCTACCAGTCCTCTGGAAGACTGGTAGACCTGCTTTTAAACATGTAAACAGAGTCTTTCAAAAGACTGATAGATCAGTCTGTACCAAAACAAAAAAACCCACCCACGGCCAATCAATTTATACTGAGGAAGAGAGATGTCACTGGCTTTCACATACATCAAAAGGTTTCAGGCAATCTCACAAGATCTCAACACAATCAAACCACAATTGTTAACTGAAAAGGTACTTGTAAGCTGTCTCACATGTAATCTGTATAACCAACCTGTCTTCTCCTTGCTTCCCCCCACCTAACTCCAATTGATGAAGTGAGCTTGTTAGTCTGAAAATGTTCCACCAGACTTCTGAT